ATTTTAGATATAAAAATGAATTTTAAAGATTAAGAATTAATTAAAATATAATAATTTTAATTATTTAGTAGTGTGGCGGGAGAATTTTTTATTTTAAGTTTTAGCAATATGATACACGTTGGTGATGAGTGGTGGATTTGAAATTCAAATAGGTTTTAGCAATATAGGACATGATGTTGATAAGGTAGTAAATTTTCAGCAATATAAACTATATTGCTGAAAGTTCTATATATACCTCAACCCTCAGTCATCTCCATGCGTTCTGCAATTCTTTTCTCCTACATCCTCCTATGCCTTCCCCTACAATGCTGCACTATCCTTTGATGATCCACGCACCTCTCAACCTCTTTTTTTTTTTTTACTTTTAACACATGTCCTACATATCTTATTGTTCACCAATTTTTATCCACTCTCTAATATGTTAATTTTACTTGTTCTTTGTTATCATTAAATTCTCATACATATATATATATATCAATAATTGAATAAATTCCATCAATTACTTCAATTCCCTTGAAGCATATTGTATAAATATTTTTGTAAATATTACATTATTAAGTATGTATCAATTTATTTGAAAGTTAATATATTTATAAATAATTATATATAGTAATTAACAATTTTGTTATTTTGTTTGTTTTGTAGGTAATTCTTAATAAAATAAAAAATTCAAGTTTGGTAAGATACTTAACCAAACCCTAAACATGAATTAACTTAAGTTTTTTAATTTACATTTATTAAGCTAAAATTTATTAATGTACCTAATTAATAAATAATTATTATTTAGTTATAATTTTTTTATGTATAATTAATTATATTGTATATGAGATATCAAGAGATTTAATAGTTGGTGATTTATAAAAAAAGTGAATTTCATATTTAAATATTGTAATATTGTTAAATTTAACACTGATAGTATAAGATTAATGTAATATATTTATTATCTATCATATAAGTGAATATAAAGAATATGTGTTTAGAATATTGGTAGGTATAATTTTTTTTATCAAGTATTCTGATGCATCACTGACAAGGGGTATGTTGTTGAAAATGTGGTTGGTACTTTAGAATAAACATTAGCAACAAGAGGTATGTTGATGAAAATGTGCTTGGTACTATTGGAAGAAACATCAGCAACAAGAGCTATGTTATTGAAAAGTTGGGGACCACTTTCCTTTAAACTTTTAGCAACACAAGCCACGTTGCTGAAAATATGGTTTCAACAACGTGGCTTATCTTGTTGAAAATGGATCAAATTCTAGCATTGGATTCCAACTATTTCCCCCTAATTTTTAGTAATATAAGCCACGTTGGTGAAATCATATTTTCAGCAACGTGGTTTATGTTGCTAAAAAGGGTGAAAAGTTTCACTGGTAACTCCACCAGATTCCAGTAAATGTTTTTACCAAAATAGATTACGTTGCTAAAACTATATTTTCACCAACATATCTTATGTTACTAATGCATTAGTAACATAATACTTGTTGACAATGTATAATCCATCAAGGCTTTTCCAATAAAGCTTTTAACAACAAGAAGTACGTTACTTAGCAACATGGAAAGCATTTTCGGCAACATGCTTCTATGTTGCTGAAGATAGGGATTTTAGTAGTGGTTGAAATTCTCGCAAAAATTGCTGTACCAATTTCAGTTCCAAAGCCACCTTTTTCTGTATAAAGACTCTAAACTCCTTATTTGTAATTTTTTTAAAATAGTAGGTGACACAATCATACTGTAATAAAGCTAAAGGTTTTGGACCTACAAATACCCATGAGATCTTTTACTATTCTTTATTTCACTTCTAATGGTGGATCATTAAATAAATGCCAACTTTATCTCAGTGATAAAATTTTGAAGTCATAACATTCACACAAGAGTTAGCTTCACATAACACATGACGAATAATCTCACCATGCCAATTTCTCTAAGTTTCACGGCATTTAGTTATTAAGCTTCTATGTGGATCATGCCAAGTTGCATTGTGACTGACCTTGTGTGCAACTAATAGGGGATTGTACTTCAAATTAGTTGAAACTCAATACTGTTTCTAAATATTAGGGGTTGATAAAAGAAAAGAAAAACATAGCTTAATAGTAATTTTTTCTTAGAATAAAAGATTTTGAATTTGAATCACAAAGCATTCAATATTATATAAATTTAATCCAATTAGTGCTTATTGCACGCTCTATGGATAACAAGTAACATTCAAATATGAGGATTGATCTATTTACACATTACACTTATAGATCATTTATCTTTTAATAAATGTAAATAAATTTCAATGACTGAAAATAGAGAAATGAATGATTAAAATTGCATAAATTTAATATATAAGACTTGTGTATAACTGAATCTAATAAGCCTCCTTTTTATATTAGGTGAAAGTGTTGTATAAGCTTATATATAGCATTGCCAAAGACCATATACTCCAGTATTAGTTCTAGGTTGAATGTTTCTTTTCACATCTTCAACCTTAGTGATCGTGAGTCCATTTGAATGCGATCAGAGGAATAGATAAATGCTAATGACCTTCTTTTCAAAATGAAGAGATTCAACCGAGGAAACTTTATATCATTTGCTAAGAAATTGTAGTTAAAAGGAAAGAAGATGTTATGGGAACGCAACCACCGTTGATATTTCTTCCAAATTAAGTAATTAGCAAAAGAAAAGCCTCCCAGAAGAAAAAAGAAAAGAGATCGAGGCTCTCCCTCAGAAAGAAAAACAAAAGGACAAAAGGATAAGAGATAGCATAGCAACATCTATGTAATTCAGGAAGTGGTCCAAAACATACACAGAGTGGGACGGCATGATTCTGACAGAAGGCAGTGGCAAATCCATTTGCATATCTCTTTTACGATTAAAGTTATATTTTTTTGGTTTTTCAAACTTACATCTTGAGTACTATAATATTATAACTTTTTAGTCATTAGTTATATATATATATATATATGTAAATATAAAAATTAATTTTAATTTAATTAATTAATTAATTAAAATTAATAATACATATATATGACACAAATATTAAAATCAATATCAACGTTTGTATGTTGTTCCGTGCACCTTAACGTGCGTGGGCTAAGGTTAAAAAGATTCATATTTTTATCTCATTTTTCTCTTTGGAAAAATCAATGTAAGGTTCTCAGTTCTCACAACATTGACACTAATTTTTTTCTTTGATAGGGTAATAATTAAGAATTAAAAGTTAAAAGTTAATATTTTATTTTTTGACAAAGTTTAACTATTAATTTGAGATCTAATCCAACCATAATCTTATTAAATTGTAGTGATCATTAATAAATCACAAAAGAATGCTATTGACACTAATCTTGACACATATTGATAAAAATAAAAAATAAAAAAAGAAGTGGAACAGACTACTCTCGATTTTTTACTTTGAAAATGAACTATACTTGATTGGAAAGAAAGAAAATGTAGGATCAGCTAAGCAGAAGGGAAATACCACGGAACGGCCCTACAAGAAATGGCTAATATTGGTTTCCGGGAAAGTAGAGGAGAAAGAAACAAGAAAAATGAAAGCGACGGCCCTACAAGAAAAGGCTAATATTGTTTTTCGGGAAAGTAGAGGAGAAAGAAACAAGAAAAAATGAGGCGACGGCCCTACAAGAATAGGCTAATATTGGTTTCCGGAAAAGTAGAACCAGAAAGAAACAAGAAAAACATGAAAGCAGCGGCCCAACAAGAGGCAAAAATCACAATTTGACCCCTTAACTTCCCAAGTTTACCTTAAATTTCTTCATACTATAACTTTATAACTTTAAGCCCTTAAAATGCACAGAATAACTTCTAAACACTCTTTTCATTATCTTTTCTTTCTCTCT